TGCATGTAGAATGTGAGTTGGCTGGTTGTTACTGGCCGGAATAGGGGCGTCAGCAAAATCTAAAGGTTTTTCTCAATCAGTAAGGATTCGAGCTGACTTGATGGGAGAGATCACAAGGAAAAAATAAATATAGGAGTTAAATTAGAGAGAGGGGTTAAAGCAGAGGAATAGAGGGAGGACGGAGCAATTTGGGACACACAGAGGAAGAGAGGGAGGAATTAAAGTAATGGCGTCAATTTCAAATTAACAGTAGAGTTCATATTGCCATGATTATAATTGTCAGGGATTCAAAATGTATGAAATATAAGTTTAAAATTAAGTCGTCTCTAGATCTATTAATTTAAGATTTAAATTATCATCTAATTCTTAACTTTTATTATATGTTTCAACCTGAGTCTTAATTTCTTTCTTTTTGTTTTTTGGGCAGATGAGTCTTAATTTTCTAAATCCATTTAATTTTTGACAAGAGTTTCTTTTTTAAAGTTTAATTACAACTTATACTAATTCTCTCAGAAAATGAAATGATTGGTCTTGTAATTAAGTGGAATTTGTCTTGACAGGATATTTTGTCGGCCAAAAAACTGGTCTTTTTCTGTGTCCTTAGATCATAATTCGAGTGCAGAGAGAGAAAATGCACTCACAAACCAAACAAAAAGGCAGCTCATCTTCAGTGATTATTATCGATAAGTTCAAAGGTGATATTTATTAAAATAAAAATTTATAAAAATTTTAATAAATCTATTTTATTATTAATCTGAAAAATATAGATTTAATTTGGTTGATCTAAATTTAATATTAAAATTCTTATAAATTAACATACATATTTACTCTTGATAGTTAATATTTAAAATTTTTAACTCATAACTTTTTAAAAAAATATTTTTTTTTGAAAGGACCAGATTGAAGATTAATTATCTATATCTCTAATGTTGTATGTTAAAATAAAAATTTATAAAATTGTATTTTTTAGAGTACATTTAAATTTATAAAAATTAGAAACAATTTTAATATTAAAGTAAACTATTTAAATTAAATATGTATTGTGAAAATTAATTATAAAAAATTTAATAAAAAATTATTCATTTTTATTTTAATAAATATAAAATAAAAATAAAAATAAAAACTTTAAATTTAGATGTTAAAATCTTTACAGTACAGATTGTGGGCACCGAAACTGATCCTTTCGGAGACGACTCGGAAATCTGAAACTCATGGCGGCGCGGTAAGCGCATGAAGAAATTTTAGGGTTTTAATGTGCGAAACATCAAATCGCGGTAAAATTCTTAAGGAAGTTGCCACTTTTAGATCCAACTCTCCAACCCATCCCTAATCACCTTATCACTGATCGATTCCGATAGTCAGGAGCATCTTCAACAACACAGTAGTTCTCATTCGGGTGTACGCATACATATACATATATATATATATATATATGTACTGATTTATAGCTCGCAGCACTATTTGCAGATGGAGTCTGTAATGTGAATTTGTGATCGCCATTTAACAACATCGAAGCTCCCGGTATCAAAGAAACAAAAAAGAAAAGAAAAGAAAGGAGGAGAAAATAAAGTTTCATGGCTCAAAAGCTCATTTCATCTTTATCTTTTGGTCTATATCCTTTGGTTCTGCTTTATCTCTTCCACATCGTGCCCTGCTCATACACGTACATAAACAATTAAGTGCCTCTATAGTCTCTACGTTTCAGAATTCTATTCCTTAGGCTTAATAACTTTGAAGATAATTCAGATATATATACACAAATAAATATTTGTTCAGAGTTATTTGCCTAAATGCTAACTAGCAGCAGTAGAATTGTTCATGGGATGGGAAAGGACGGGGGTGACCCTATCCTCCCATGTCTCCACTCATCCTGGTGGTGGTCCTTTCTTGCTGGGGTTAGGATGGACCGAAAACCTGATAAAAAGACAAATAGTGGAAAAGAGAGAAGGAAAATTAAACAATTAACCTCTTACAACAATATTCGTCTATCTTTAAATTTCGAGCAACCAAGCATACGGTGAGCACAAGCCGGGTCAGGCTAGCTCAATGAGCTGCATGCACATAGCCTGTCCTATATGGACTCGCCTGTGTAAAAGCTAACGGCGACATGCGAGCTTCTGGAAGAGTTCTGAGCGGCAACAACAAAGAATATGTAAGGGAGGATCAAAGGAGGGAAAGAGGCATTCACGGTTTCTTGAAGAAACAAAGGTTAAGAGGTAGTCGGCGGAGGCAAAATAATTAAAGAAACAAAACACCACACTTATTATTATTATTATTATTATTATTTTGCAAAAAGATATTTGGACTATCTGGATATTAACATTAAAAAAGAAAATAAATACACGCGAGAGTAAGAACAGGCTTGCCCGCAGCATGTCCTGCGCATTCTTTTTAGAGACGAGCTAGCCCATTTTTCTCGGCATGTTCGTTTGTTCCCATTAACCAGCTCGTCCAAATTGATTGGTCGCTAGTAAGTACACCGAGCGGCTTGCCCACCCTTGTTAAGCACGCTCTTCGGCTTTTTAACAATGAAAATGATCCTTTTTTTTCAAGTATTATTCTTCAAAAATCTCATCACATAAAAATGAGAATTCTTGTAAATGTAAAATTATATATATATATAATGTCTTGCAAACCAGAAAATCAATACATTACATTAAATTATAAGCTGAATTAATGTACTTGTTATAGAATGTAACTATAATTTTCTAAATAAAAAAATAAAAGAATAATATATATACATGAGGATAGAACAAGATGTACTGATGATCATCCTTCCCATACTTAAATTTGTCTCAATTTTGTCATGTATCATCTTTCATCTTTTCCAACCACCTTGCAATAATTTCTGTCTAATTTTATCCAGTGTATGCTTCCAAAGATATTTGTCAAAGTAACCGTACTAAACGTGACAGATGGAGGTGGCTGTGCTGCCTGTGCAGTGGCTTCACAGTATCATGGCTTTATCACAAGACCTGTTGGATTATGGATTTGCCTCTTGCTTCTGATAAGTTCTTGTAACCCTGATGAGTGTAAACTACAGAGGAAAGGAAAAGAAAATCAAAACCTACATGCTTCCTCATAATGAGGAATCCCACGTGAGAAGGGAATACATTGTTATAAAGGAGGATGTCTCATCAGTCATCACTGAGTAACAGTAAAGGGCGCGATGGATGCTCCTCCATATGCGGAAATGGACAAAAACTTAATTTCCGTTGTTTGCTATTTCCAGTCCCTTTAAGCGTCATGGTTTAGTAAACCTTTAGTACTCTTTTCTTGTGTTGACTTAATTTTTACGTAATCAACATTTACTACAGCTCTTCAATTGCTCGATTTTCACGTCTTAATTTCGAACCTACTTGTTTTCCGATCCCCCCACTGGTCAATTCGCCCGTTTGCTCTTTCATCATCTGCAGTGCATGTTTGGTTTTTAACTTACATTCCCCAAAGGTTCATTTAAAAGAAGTAATCATTTATAGATTGAATGGACTTTTGATGGAAATTAAACCTAAACAAGCCTGAAAATTCATACATTTTGTAAAAAATAATTTATGTAGGCACAGTTTTAAAATTAATTATGTCACTTGATTCATCTTTAGAGTGTGTGTGTGTGTGTACTAATGAAGTCAAATTAAATCAGTCAATTCCTTTAAAATTCCAAAATTACTCTCAATGAACTTCGCTAGTTATTAGAGAAGGTTGTTAATTAGTTACCTATGAGTAATTATAAAATTTCAAGGGAAAGTAAATTTAGGAAAAACATTAATATTTTAGATAAAGTCTTGTATTAAAGACTATGGAGAAAGATCTTATGATATAAGATGGGAAGAAGTACTATTTAATTAATTACTCCAATAAAAACGATCCAAAAATGTACTCACTCCGTTAAAAAATGTAAGACATTTTTTGAGGAGTTGGATATTTAAAAATATAAGGTATTTTTAGTTTTTTGAGGTGTAATTATTGCTTTTTTTTTTCAAAAGTACCCCTATTAATAATGACTTTATATTTATTGTAGAGTGTTTAATATAAGTAAATATGAAAAGATAGGGTTAGTTAAAAAGTAGGTAACTACTTTATTGAAAGTTGAGATTTAATTAAAAATACCTTACATTTTTTAACGAATAAATATATATTTTCAAATTGTGTTTCCTTTCATACTAGGGGCAACACTTATATGAGAAAATTGTGTCCCCCCATCTATTGATTAATACGACGGGCCAACATATATATTTTTTGACCAACAGAGGGGCCAATATATTATGTGGTACAAATTCAGAATATATGAAAGAAGGACAATTAGTTTATATTTCAAAAGCTTGAGTTAAATATGAGCGGAGAGCATAACTTTTTTGAACACTTTTTTTGGAGTAAAAATAAATAGAAGGCAGCTTTTCTAGTATACCATTTTTTTGGTGGTACAAAGGAAGCGAAAAGGAGAGTAAAGGAGCTCTCCTGGTAAAGGAGAGGCGTCACATTGCAGGTAGACACACTGTCCCTCAGAAACAAAAACATAGGCTTTTTTAAAAGCACAAATAATTGACCAAATCTCAAAATTACTGAGGAGATATCTGGAATAACGAGGTACAAACAAGATTCTCCTCTCCTTTCACCAGTTATTCCTCCTTAAAACTTGTAAACATTAAAAATGTGAGATTTCATGTTTGGCCTTATCTTGAGCAGGATTGGATTGTATCTTATCAAAAAGGCATGTGTATGCAAGGCGGTGACTAAAACTAGCCAAATAATACCAGCAAACCATGAACTGCCTTTCGTATAAGCTGGTTCTTGGAAGGGCACAAATTCAAACGAAGTGATCCCCATATATAAAAACTTGATAACTAAAAGCGCTCTCTCTCTCTCTCTCAACATTCCAAGTATTAATATCCCGCCCCCCTCGTCCGCTACACACGAGGCCAGAATAGTCAGGGAGATGGGTCACTCCCACCCACTCATTCTTTCGATCATGGCTCTTCATCTTCGCCCACTCTCTTCTTCTTTGTCTTTCACCCACACGCGCACGTACCCCACCAGTTAAATGCCATAAAATTAAACCAAACCAAATACACCATTAACCCCGCTTCACTTCACCTTCACTGGTTTTCCCGACCAGACTAGTCCATCCTGGCCTTTGAGATTTTTGTCACTTCTCTCTTTCTCTCTCCTCATCAAATAAAGTTCCTCTCTTTTCCCCCCTCATTAAAGAATCATTTTCTTATATCTTTATTTGTATTTGTTCTGCGTCTTCTCTGTAAATTCTTGATCCTGCTCACTTTTCTTTGGGGAAAGGAATTCTCCCCCGTGATCTGCCTATCAATCTACTAAGCTGCTCATCATACACGCACAGAGGACAACGTCACACAATTTAAAAAAAAAAATGTCAATGGATATGATGGCAACCGAACGTGTTTGTTATGTTCACTGCAACTTCTGCAACACCATCCTAGCGGTATACCCTTGAATTCTGTTTATCTCTTTCTTTTCCTCATTTATCTTAAGCTTTTTGCCTTGCTTTGCCTTTCATCAGCTAATTTGGCAATCCAGATTTTATACCTTTTCCTTTATACCAAGATCGCCAGAGAGCAAGTAAATAAAGGAAAAGCTGATGCTTTGAGGTTACCCAAATTTATAAAAGCTAAATTCATGGGCTCAGCAGACCTGATGATCAGAATGTTTATGATTATGAACGGATGAGAAATACTGAGTTGTTGCAACGCGCAACTGTTACCCCAATTTTTATGCAAAGCAAAGCCTGTGGGCGCTGTTGTGCTTCACTTTCCCTTGGAAATCGAATCCATCACTCAAGTCACTTTCTTGGCTACTCCCATGGAGTTTAGACCAGAGAGTTCTATTATTCCTTTCTTATATTTTATGAGAAATTTAAACTGGGTTTTGCACTTTGGTTCATGAGCTCAGTAATGCCAAGAACTTCATCTGGCCGCTGGGGAGAGACTTTGGTTAAAGGGAAATCATATATTATGTATAGTCACAGTAGCTTGAAGAATATCACTTGTGGATGTTTTCATCGAAGAAGAAAACAATTCCAATATATATTTATTAATATAATAATAGACGAACACAAAAGCAGAAGCCCCTAGCACTCAAATTTCTTACTTAAAAAAAAAAAAAGAAAAGGAAATTTGAATGCTAGTGCTACCCTCGTGTTCTAGGGTTCTTCCAATATGAAAGTATTTCAGCCTCCTTAACCCTCTTTTATTTAATTTGCAGAAGCATATGGCATCATATGCAAGATCTCAGTCATATATTGCAAAGCCTACAGCCTCGCTGCTTTAGTTTATCAGTTTTTTTTTTCTTTTTTTTTTGGTTAATTCTGCCGTACTTGTGTCTACGCTCAGCTCAGACATTGGAATCCGTATGCAAATCCATGTGATGACATGCGGTATACGATTTCTCTCTCCTCAGCCTATTTCGTTCCTTTGTGTCATGAGCCATCGATTGGGCGGTAGTGGGCAATAAGTATTTCTGTTGGTCATGATTTGCCAGTGAAGCATCTCTTTTTCAATGATCGTATAACATCAAAGTTTTTCGCAGTTTCAGAATTGTTGCTTCCTTTAAGTACAGAGGGCAGTGTTTGGCTTTCTTTCTATAAAGCCAGCCATTCCAGGCCAAACCAGAATATGCTTTCTTTTAATCTCCTTTCAACTAGAGATCTCTGGTGAGATTACCCCTTTTGAGAAAGCATCCTCTTTCTTTCTCTCCTACACAAATGCAGATCTCAAATCACTGCAAAAAGAGCATCGAGATTAATCTGATTCACCTTCACCATCATCAAAGCGCTTCTTTATTCATAGCTAGTCCAGCTACATCTTCTCGAAAGCAGTGATGGAGTGGGTTAATGTTGTTGGATCATCGTGGCCCTTATGGTATCTGTTCCAGTCATGTCATTTTCACCTCTTTCTCTCTCTCTCTTTCTCTTTCTCTCTTTCCTCCTTGCTATGAGCTTACAATTTCTATCTTTTATCATCTTGCCTTGCAGTGTCAGCCAAAAAGTCATGCGTACCCAGAACAAGGGGACATTGTGAGAGTGCTCGCTTTTAATTTACCCATGTCAGTTCCTGATGAGCTTGCTCCAAATTAACATGTACATTGAATTCACACTGACTACTGAGCTAGCTAGCTAGCTGGATATGGACGCCCCATAAAAATAGGCCTCGCGCTGTAAAAGACAAAACCTTACTTCTCTCACTTCCCTCTCATGCTTTTTCCTTCTGTTTCTTGTCTTCTATACTTTGATTTTCATCGGTTTATTGAATTTCTGGTTCTTGCATGACGGTTGTGTGAAAACTTTATTATTTCTCCGAGTGCTCCTGTCTTAACCTTGCTCTACAAAACAGATATATAGTGATTGCTGATTTCAAATTAACAAATGTGATGAAATTTGCAGCACTGTAATTATCACTAGCTAGCTAGAAGAGATTCCAATGATAAAGGGTTTTTGAAACTTTTCATTCTTAATATGTTTGCTGGGACTAGATGATAGCAGAAGTTCTTGATAATCCTCCTATATGTATGCAGCACAGAAATCGATAAACTGTTACGGTTATTGGTTTCTAATTATACATTGAGATGATAGCTTAATTTGTTTGCTCTGTATTGATAAATGGGTGTTGGCAGGTAAGTGTTCCATGCAGCAGTTTCTTTAACATAGTGACGGTTCGATGTGGGCACTGTGCTAATTTACTGTCAGTTAACATGGGAGCATCTCTCCAAACATTCCCTCCTCAAGAACTTCAGGTATTTCACCGCTTCCTTCTTGATCGTCTGAGTGTGCGCATCCGCCTTTCACACACACGCGTGTAATATATATATATATATATATATGAGATTGTTTCTTCGTTGATATCTTTACTTCCATTGATTCGAACTCCCCGAGCAAAATGCTCAGCCCCGGCTATATATAAATAATAAATATATGTATGCCTTAGTGTATAAGTGTTCAATTGGATGATACCAAAGTTTGGTTCTTGATTAGTTACAGAAACAAGAATCATGCAACAGAGAGGTGGGATCATCTTCAAAAAGCAGTAAATTTTCTGCATTTGAGTCTGCAGAGCATGAACAACATAGGATTCCTCCCATTCGTCGTAAGTGACTCTCGAGCGTTCTCTCCTTTCTATATAGCTTTTGGTTTCTCATGATGAATGAAATTATATTGTTACTTCTGTGTCGAAGTTTAAATGAACAACAATGCGAACTTCTTGTAATACACTGAGTTTTAAGACCGAAAAAGGAAAGACTTGGATGCAATACACAACTGGCAGAAGTTAATATATGAGCAAGCACAACGACCTTATCATTGAGGCCACTTGTCATAAAACGAGTTTTTCATGAGAGTGGTCATTCATGTCTGAGTATCAAACTTTTCTTTGTACAACAGTACCTATATTGGGCACCCTATTTTAATTTATTTTCTTCAATTTATATGGCCCCCTCTTAGATGGTGACCTTACGTAAAGAAATTGACCCATCCTATTTAATTGATAGCACGGTGCTGTGCCCTAGAACATATCATATGCGAGCTTATCTGAATTCATTTTTCAGTTAATATTAACAGCTCAGGTAAAGTGATCATATATGGTCCAATCTTTATCATAGAGCTTTCCAGAAGTGGCTTGGACAATCACGACAAGAAATGTTTGCTAAATAGCTAGCTAGCTTGCTGGGAGAGCAAATAAACGAGCCTTGGATATATACAAACTATGAAATGCCAATGATTATCAAATAAATCGTCTTGGGAACACACACACAACCACGGTTTTCAATTACCAGTTTCACTGCTCGGCAGTTCATCTATATGTGATCAGTCATGCACTTGACCTGAAACTCCTCACGTTTCCGAGTGATTCTCCCATCTGTGTGTCATATTCGACTAATTTTTTTTGTTCATGATCAATGGCATAACTTTCTATGAAGGCACAATTAGTATAATAATTCTGAATTAAAATAATCTCACGAATATTGCAGCCCCTGAGAAGAGACAACGAGTTCCTTCTGCTTATAACAGGTTCATCAAGTAAGTATTTAAGCTTTCTTATCACCGTTTTAATTAAACATGTATTGCACTGTTTATGACCTTATTCGCATAATGCCTGGGTAGCTAGTTCTTATTTGTGACTTGTTTCGTCGAAGGGAGGAAATCCAGAGGATTAAGGCTAGTAACCCCGATGTCAGCCACAGGGAGGCGTTTAGCACCGCGGCCAAAAACGTGAGTTCTTATTAATTAATTGCCAGCTAGCTGCTTCCATTTTTGCTCGCGCTTTTATTAAGACCACATATTCCATGGTTAAACTGACTACATGGTGAAATTGTTTACTTGATTAATCAATGATATGATTTAAATGCCCGAGTTAATTAACTTAGTAGACAAATTTTTTTACAGGCAAAAACTTATCAGACATGTCAAAAGTGTAGAATAATAAACAGCCCATATGGAGATTGTCTCTCGTGTGTATATGTGTGTGAGAGAGCGATTATTAGTCTTAGTCTACTTTTTCCTGGCCCCTAAGAAGAAGACAACTCTGTCTACCCAATTTCTTTTGGGGAAGGTGGAAGTTCAAAATCCCAGCCATTAATGTAAGAAATTTCCATATCCATGTTTAGGTTAATTATACCTCATCGATTAGACGATATCAAAATGCACATGCAGATATTACAAAGCCATAGTTTGCGGATATATAGGCTATATATCAGGATAAGAGAAAAAAACTCAAAAAATTTCTTAAAAAAAATTGGGGGGGGGGATCAGAGCTTAGGCCAAAATAATACATTATTATCACCAAACGTTGTCATAGAGATACGATCGAAAATACAACTCAAATGATATAAGTGACATATCATTTGGGGTTGGTCAAAGGAGTAATTTGGAATAAGCACTTTATTTGATGCGATCCGTAGGTAAAAAAGCATCAAACCTAAGTTTAACTTGATTGCACTCTCTATATGTTTCTATGCTCAATAAATTGTTCGTATATTATAATCATAAATTAAGACCGTTGCTCGAAAGCCGCTTATCTTTTTTTATCCTTTTTCTCTGCATTTGGTATGATATATATATATATATATATATTTGGGTGATGCTCGTGATTCCTTTCAAATAGTTAATTTTTTATGTTATAAAAAAATGTTTTTTTATTATTCTGAATCTTAATTATCCGTTCAAATAACTCTGTTCTGTCTTTTCAAAGGGTAATTTAAATCGTCTTTCCCCCAGTCTTATTTTTTTTCGGGTATAAAATTTCAAAAGTCTCTCTGATTTCTTGACAGATTTATGCAGCAAGTATTTCCCATATGGGATTTGTGGCGTTCCAGTAACTAGCAATACAATGCATCAAAAAGATTTCTTTTCTAAATGAAATCAAACCCAAACTATAGAAATGCGCCATGAATGGTGTTTTATTGATGCATGTTCACGCATGATTGTATATTATATAGTTATAAGTCAACTCAACTTCCAATCAATGTTGCACATTTTTAAATTATAGTAAATAATATGAAATAATGTTTTACATGATCTGTTAAACTCGTGATTTCATTGCATGCTTCCTTTGATCAATTAGGCATAAAAAAACAAGGGACAAGATTTGAAGTGAATAAGAAAAATGATATTTAAACCACGCTTTAGTTAAATCAATATATGACCGGTTGAGTTTACACCTCTTATTGACTATGTGAATTTGATTTTCTAAAAATTATTACATTTTTTTTTCAATTATATCCTTAAGTGTAATAAACATAACATTTGACTTATTTAAAATACAATCATTAATTACTTAATAAAATAAGGGTGTAATTGAAAAATATATATATATATATATAACACTTATTCAACACCCTATATTTGGACTAAATAAAATTTTTAAAAAATAACTTAATATTATGTTTTGGAGGGAATAATACGTATCATAAAGTATCCTATTAAATTCTTTAATGTGTTGCTTTTGTGATTGTGTGGAATAATCATGCAGTGGGCACATTTTCCCCATATTCACATTGGATTAAAGCTGGATGGCAACAAGCAAGCAAAGTTGGACCAGGAAGAGGGAACTCAAAAATCTAATGGCCTATATTGACGATGACATCAAAATGGAAGCATGTAAGTATCAGCTAGAATTTCATATGCTAGACCTGAATCAGTAGAAAGTGATGAGGTTGATCAAATTTCCCAGTCATATATACAAGTGGATAGGGGAGACTACTCTTCTGGAAACCTCGATCGATCAGCCTCGCCCACATGTTTGATACCATCTATATATATTTGTATTGCGTCTTCAACTTGTCATGAGACAATTTCTACTCTTGTGATTGCATTTATTACATGTTGAACTTAAGCGAGCAATGCGTTCCTGAAACGACTCTCCTCGTCAGTAATATTTCCTTTTGTTTTATCTGAATAATTTACAGACCTTTCTGCCAAGCAACGTCTGAAATTAATTAGTTGGATCGAATTTTCTTGTTTACACATAGGAAATTAATTAAGGACGTCATCTCTAGCCCTCTCATCCTCACAAGTCACATCGCGGCTTGCGCATTTCAATTCCCGTTGCGCGTAAGGAAGTGGGTTTCGCATAGCAATATGTTCTGACCAGCTTCTCCTACAAAAGTAAAACTAACAAGAAAAGAAAGACTCCTTGCCGAAAGTTTCTTTTCTGATGCAAAATGGCTATGAATCAATCATATTATTGCGATTATTACAACTAGCACTACTAGGAAAATAGTAAAAGAATAATGACGCAGAACAATATACTGACACCGCAAGCAACAACGATGCAGCCAATTCCAGCCTGCATAAAATTTTTAACAAGTACGCGCTCTGCCTTCTGCCAAAAACTTCATTTACAAATTTTTTCCAGGCACAAATCAATGCTCGCTATTAAAAACTTCGGATGAAATTACATTCACACGGAGGAAAGAAGACCACAGGCTTGTACGAAAACTGATGCCCAACTCAGACTCCGGGATCTAACAAGCTTACGTACATACTATGCCAATCGAAGAACGCATGCAACAAATTAAATGAGCATTTCAACAGTAATGTACATCAAGTAATAAGGCGGTTGATGAGGAACGAGTAGTGGAGATCCAAAGAAGAGTAAAATAGTTGAAATTATATATCATGACTAATTGGGTCGGGGCAAAATGGTTGGGTCATATAGTGAAGTGACGCGCGATGTGGGTGGGAACAGTACTGAGGGGAAGTGGGGTGGCTATGATGAATAATGATAAGGTGAAATTAAAGGGGAATGCATGTACACAGGGATGATATGTATAGGGTTATGTTGCGGGGTGAATCGAATGGGGTCGTGGTTGTCCGTGTCTGCGATCGTCCTGAATCCTTGACTCAGAGGGAGACATGTGAGAGACATTTTGCGTCACTTGTGCTGCTCAGTACATCTGGTACAACAACAAAACATCCCATAACCCTAATTCTCTTCTCTGTTGGGCATCTTCTAGGCGGTGATTTATTTGCCCCGTGAGCCACTTTTGAATAGTGTAGTTTATCATGCGGGGCAATCTAGAATATAATATTTTTCATGTGGCAACTCCTACTTGTTTTTCTTTTTTATATGTATATTTTTATGTAGTCATAGTTATGATTTCTTATTTTTTTTTGTGGTTAAAAGTCTAGTAGTATACACACGTGCGTAATTAATGACTCATTATTAATGATACATTCCTGTAAATATTAATTAATTTCTATGTAAAATATAATTTTATAGACGTTTGTAAAAAATAATTTATGTTACTTATGAATTATAAAATATATTGCATGTCGCGGTTTTTTCCCCAGAAATTTATTATAGTTTTTTAGATGTTATATTAATTACATTTTACATTTGGGCGGTGAATTTTTTTTTTTTTTTTTTTGGCTTTGGTGGAAGGATAAGGGGTTTGAGTGACTGATGATTTGGCAGGAGGGAAGAGGATAAAAAAGTGCAGAATCTGAAATGTTAAATCAAAGAGGTAGGGTTGGGTAATTGGATGCATCAGCATGTGTGGCTGCGACACCTTGGGGTTCTTGTCCTCTGCGATGCTGATAGCTAAGATGTGTCACTTCTTCGATTGATTAATTAATGTCATTATAATAATCTCCCTCCCACTTCGGACGCACTGTCACGTCGTTGCCACTCTTAAGGGCGTTACAACAAGCCACCGGGCATCAATCCCCCTGGAACAAGGTGGCAACATTCTGCAATAAATGCTGTTCCCCGCCCGACCTTTTTCTGCGGTGGCACGCGCCTGTTAAGTGAGGCATGTAAATTAACTTTTTATATTTCAAGAGTCACATTTCAAAAGTATTTTTTCACTCTTAAAATGTAAAGAACTGTTTGAAAAATTTGTTTAGAGTAAAAGAACTTTTAAAATGAGCTCAAAAGTGAAAAAAAATAAAGCTCCATTCAATACTTTTTAAAAAATAAAATATTATTTAATCATATTTTTTAAATTTAATTTCTTATTTTTTTATTTTAAAAAATATTTAATTCATTAAAAATATAATTATCATTTAAATAATCATAATTAGATATCAATTTTTAATATTATAAATTAAATAATTAATCATGTTAATTTTTAATATTAATGTATAATAAAAATTATAAATCTTTATCATTTTTTTAAAATTATAAATTAAAATATTATAAATAATTAGATATCAAGTTTTTAACATAATAGATCAAATTTTATGTTATTTAAAATATTTATCACATTTTTTTAAATATTTTAAATATATTATATTTACATAATAATAATTATAAATCATCATAAATTAATGTCTTTTTTAGTAACTATACATTTAATAGCATACTTTATTATCATAATCTAAAAAAATTTTAATTTACCAAACTAACTTTTAAAAAAATATATTTAAATACAAATTTTGTTATAACAACTAACTTTTACTAAAATAACTTTTGTCAAATAAACTTTCAACAAATAAACTTTTGATAAATTAAAAACCAAACACACATTAATTATTTTGTTTTTAATTTCTCAAATATTTGTATGCCATGTTTTTCTAAAAATTGATTAGATAAATTAAAATTTATTTAAATGATATAATATATATCTAAATTTTATAAGTGTTGAATAAAAAATATATTAATATTTATATATATATATATATTTAATAAGAAAATATAAAAATATATAATGTGATACGATGCAATGCAATCTCTTTAATAAATAAAAATACATGAATAGTGTGAATTTAAAATAAAAAATCGTCAGCCTTGGAAATTCAAAATCAAGTGAAAATTAGCTGAAATCATGCAATACTCAACGCAGAACTCCAAACGCCAGGAGTTTCTGTTCTTTTGTTTTGGTTAAAAATGTTAAAATTAATTTTGGCCCTCACGATAACGTAATTTTGCATTTTGGCTTCTCTATTGGCTTGGTTCTGGATCCATCCCTGATTTTATGTGTCGCATTAATCAGAAGGGTGGATACTAATAATCTATGTTAAAAGCAGGATCAAAATTACCATCTGCCAGTTATAAGAGGATTTGCATGGATTAATCACATTTGTACGGAAAATTAACAGCACCTTGAGGAACGGCATTATCAGAGTCAGTAGCAAAATTTTACCCCAAAAAAAAAACTAAAAGAAAAAAAAGAGGGTGGGACCTATTTGATTCTGAGGACTACACTGCACAACATATCAGGCAACGGAATACAGAAAGACCGACACTCATTGGATTCAGTATATAAGTTATTTTTAAAAATAATCTAATTTATTTTATAAATCATTTATTGATGAGATTATTTTATTTTAAATTAAAATCTTTAAATTACTTTTAAAAAGTAAGAGAGAAAAAAATAAAAAAATAATATTATATGATTGACTTACTTTTTGTTTTTTACGTTAAGATTATGTTTAAAGTTTCACTTACTTTTATTCCTTGTACTTTTATTATATTGGTGTTGATAAGGTTGGTAGAAATGACTTATAAACAGGATTAAAGGGAGTACAGCTGAAAGTGTTGTTCTGGTTGGAACAAATGAAAATTGGTTTATGTGCTCAGCGCACTGTGATGAAATTTAAAGTACTATTATATTTTAATAAATTTTTTATTTTTAATATGATTTAAATTTAATTTTAAAGGCTAATTTAATATTAAAAATTTTATAATTGATATATATTGATTATTCAAATGTATTATGTACAATTCAAATTTAATCAAATGTTAATCTAGATTGTGTAGAGTACATGTAGATAGTCAATATAGATCATTTATAAAAATTTTAATTGAACCTCCAAATTAAATCTAAGTCAGATTAAAAATAAAAATTATTAAAATTATTTTATAATTTTTATTAATTTTTATTTTAATAAATATAAAATAAAAAAATACTCCCTTCGTCCAAAATGTAAAGTATTTTTAACCAAATCTCACCCCAATAAAATAATTACTTATTTTCAAACTAACCCTATCTTTTCATATTTATCCCTATTAAATACACTATAATAAATATAAAGTTACTATCAATAGAGATACTTTTGAAAAAAAGGTAATAATTACACCTCGAAAAATTAAAAATGCCTTACATTTTAAACATTCAACTCTTCAAAAAATGCCTTACATTTTTTAATGGAGAGATTATATAATAGTATTTTAAATCTAGACCATCTTGATAATCCAGACGATCCAAATTTCATCACATGACGAGCACCATGTGATGAGCATTGAAACCAATCTTGAACAAACAAGGTAGTTTCGACCAAAAGCAAAACTGATTGAATGTGAAAGTAAAAAAGGAATGAGTTGCTCCTTCGTTTAAAAATATAAGGTATCTTTTAAAAGGTTAAATATTTAAAAAATATAAGATATTTTGAGTTTTTTAAAGTATACTCATTATCTTCTTTTTTAAAAAGCACCCCAAGTGAATAGATTAATTTATATTTTTTAGGATAAAATAATTTATTAAATAGAAGTAAATATGAAAAGATAGAATTAGTTTAAAGATAAGTAACTACTTTATTAGGAGTGAGATTTGATTAAAAATATCATTTTTTAATGGAGAGAGTATTTATAAAACATGTTATTATTTTTTATTTTTATTAAATATTAATAAAATATATTATTAAAATATGTATATATAATAAAAATAAAATTCCAATTTTATCAATTGTTTGAGATAGAAGTAATAAATTTTAAATTTTTCCTGTCCAATGATAAAATATATTAAAATAAACAAGAGCATAAGGAATTCATTGATAAATTTATAGTAGGAAAAATCGCATTTAGGGCCCTCAAAAATAAAAATTTACAGACAAGGCTTAATAGAATGTGAAATTATTTTGAGACCCTAAATGCCTCATTTGCAATTATGTTTTTAGTGAAATGACCAATTTGCCCCTCTAATAACTAGATGCTAAACAATAGCTTCCTTCTCTCTCTTCCTCTCCCGACATTGATATAATAATCAAATTCATCTTCCTCCCCATCATGCTTCTTTGTTCCCTCTCTTCTTCTTCCTCCCTCTTCCTTCTTTCTCCTCCTTCCCAAGCTCACATTTGAAGCATTTTTGCTTAAAGGAGTGGACGATCCACTATTATTCATATAGCTATGGATAGGACGATCAGGTGTTTCGCCAACTACATCCCTCTCACATTAACTAGCTTCTTGAAACGATTTGCCATAGTGTGAAAAGAATGGATCAAGTGGTGTGTTGATTTTGGCATAGAAGCTAATGTAATTATTACATATTGTGAACCCATTACCGCTTCTAAACAGCTTTATTTTGTCAAAAGAAGACATAGAGAGAGCTTAAGCCATATCAATTTTATCAAGTAATAAGTACATGTTCATGTTCATTTAATGAAAACAAGTTGTTATTTATGGGCTTTTTGTTGTTTTTGATACAGACTGCAGCAAATATACATGTTCTAGTGTAGATCTCATTTATAAAATTTATGTTATCACTTACGAAATTTATGCTGTGCAAACTTTGCAATTAACTTTTGTAGATATTTATGTGTATCATATAGATATACTTTGTATTATAAATATATGGACCTTTTGATGTTATTTATGGATATTTTATTGTGAATTAGTTAATTACAACTCTCAATGAATTAGATTATAGGAAGGATGACTTCTATATCTTAATGTGCAGTAGCATTTCCTAAAACTTCAACCTCTGATCTTTTGATAGTCAAAAGATTGGGTTACACGTTATAAAAATATGAACATTATCTTGTCAATATTGAATATTCAATTGTGAATTTAGTTGTAAATTATCCAAATGTGATGTATTTATTCCTAAAAATTTAATAAAAATATATTGTGAATTTATAAGGACCTTGCACAGATGTTCATGTGTGCTATATAAAAGGACGTTGTGTTATTAATATATAGAACTTGTCATGTTATTTGACAATCTTCAACTTGAATAGATGGACCATGTAAAATGTATAGACATTATATTGTTAATAAATAAACTTAATTATGTTATATACAGACTTTCTATTGTTCATAACTCTAAAATTTTTTTGCAAACGTTCAACTTAACAGCACGAACCATGTGAGATGGACAGACATTGTGTTGTTAACAAATAGATACTTTCATATTATACACAGACTTTCTATTGTTCATGAATTTGAAAAACTTTTTCAAATGTTCAGCTTAATTACACAAATCATGTAAAATAAATGAGTATTGTATTATCAATAAATGAACTTTATCATATTATATACAAACTTTATGTTGTTTATAAACCTGAAAAACTTTTTATTAAGCCTAGCCAACTAATAAACTGAACGCGCATAAACTTTCAATTAAAAATATATGAAGATTGTGTTATATATTATTTGCCTAACTTATACATTTTGTTAAACCTAATCTACTAATTTACTAAATACGCATGGACTATAAAGTTTTACATTGAGTATTAAGAGCCTAACACAACACCTCCTCCACTGCTCAAGCTTAAGACTGACTATAAACATAAACAAAGTTAGGTTCATGAAATAACGTGGAAATTTTACATTTGATTGCCTTGTTTTACATCTTGCTTAAGATCATATGTTTTTGAGTGTAAGAAAATGCTTCATATTCACGTTGAAGCAAGCATTCATGTTAAAAACATTATTGACAGGAATGTTCTTAATCGCCTTCATTATGTTTCCCCACCACTTGGCAAGGGTCCTCAGAGTTGATACACATGCACAGCTTAACAAAACACTCAACAAATAAAATAATATTATGCAAAGTTGAAGCAGCCCCCCAAGTCCTGCTGAAGACCGTGAACACTTAGATGTTGGACACTGTAGATCCAAAACCGATTTTGAAATTGAAGTTGATGCAAGTTAACTGCTCATCCTTCTCATCTTCCATTGTCATCTTCAGGACATAAGAGCCCTACAAAAATTTAAAAATAAATAAATAAATAAATAGGAGAACATTTGATAACGAACCAAGTAATTTAAAAGAAAAGTACTATCAAAGTCCAAAGACAGGTATTATGAGAAGGGGAAGGACTGTACAAGAAAAGCATGCATAACACGACTAAATGTAATGAAATAAAGAAAATTGAAAAACTTCCACGTTCGAGGTTCGACAAAGATAAAACCAACACAAATCAGCCAAGCCGTACCCTATCTTCAAGAAGTTACACGCGCTAGTCTAATAGTAGTAGAGAGGCAATAAACATCCAGCTGAAAAGTAAAGTTGTATATAAATATAGGTAAATCAGCCGTCGCACCCAATCGTCAAGAGGAAGTCAGTCGCCTCAATCTAGATATCTGATAGAAAGGCAATAATGCAAGAAATGTGTCACACCTTATCTCAGGAAATAAAATGAATACAACAAAATATGGGAAATTCTTCTGGTATTAATCAGTAAATTGCATTGCGAAGTTCATCAGAAAACAATACAGCAGAAGTGTAGTTCAGAAAAGGAAACGATAACAGAACAGAATTACCAGAGAAAGGAGGAGGAATAACAGAAAGGAGAGAGAGACCAATTACAATCACACACTGTTTTCCACTCATTGCATGCACATGCATTTTATCCCTCTTGCCCCTCTCGTAACTTCCACGTGAGTGTTCTTGGACGAGTGCTTCTACGCAAAGCAGCCAAATCCGTGTGACCGTCATTGGGTATCGCCACGTCATGGTTCAGCTCACCACTCATCTGCTGACTCGATATAGTGGACGTGACATTGCCCTCCCCAACGAGCGTGACCTTGTCCCCAAGGTCAAAAGCAGGGTAATTATGCAGGAAAGATTGTAAATCCTCCCACGTAGGCTCAGAAATACCCTCCCAGCGGATTAACGCCTGCGTGACAGAAGAATCACCGTGTTGAACTTGTCGCGTTTGTAAAACTTCCAAAGGTTGAACTTGAGGGCCATCAACATCTGCGAGCAACGGAAGTGGTACATAGGTCGAGGTGACATCCCCATAACATCGTTTCAACAAGGAGATATGGAACACTGTGTGAATTCGAGCACTTGGAGGAAGTTCAAGACGATAAGCGACAGTACCAATCCGCTCAATGACCTTGAAGGGACCAAAATATTTAAAACCCAGCTTCTGATGTTTCCGTAATGCAACAGAGTGCTGACGATATGGTTGCAGCTTGACCAACACAAAGTCTCCAACCTGAAATGTATCCTCCCGACGGTGACGGTCTGCATAACGTTTCATACGGTTCTGGGCACATTGTAGATTACGCTTGAGAGTAGTGAGGAGTAAATCACGTTCACGCAGTAAAGCATGTATGTCCGGAGGTGTATCAGCTGAGGTGTACCCACGAACTAATAAGGGTGGTTCACGGCCATAGACAGCCTTAAAGGGTGTCATGCCAATAGCCGAGTGAAAAGAGGTGTTGTAGCTAAACTCAGCCCATGGTAGCAGTTCTAACCAACGCTTAGGACACTCCTGGACAAAACATCGCAAGTACATTTCGACACAACGATTCAATGCTTCAGATTGGCCATCAGTTTCTGGATGGTAAGCTGAACTCATTTGCAACTGAATTCCTTGAAGCTGGCATAAGGCACGCCAAAAGGAGCTTGTGAAAACTTTATCCCGATCGGATACAATTGACTGTGGCATTCCATGCAGACGTATAACATGGGAGAGAAATACTTCAGCTACTTGTTTACTAGTGTAATGGGCACTCAAAGGTGCAAAATGTGCATACTTAGAAAGGCGATCTATCATCACCATGATTACTGTATACCCACGTGTAGGGGGTAAAGAGGTGATAAAATCCATTGCCACGGAGTCCCATATTTGTGATGGAATTGGAAGTGGGCAAAGAAGGCCAGCTGGAGAAATCTGAGCTACTTTGGCACGCTGACAAGTGAGACATTCTTTTACGAAGACTTGAACGTCTCTTCGCATAGTGGGCCAATACACATTAGCGGCTAAACGGCGAAATGTTCGAAATGCACCGGCATGACCTCCTATAATCGATGCATGGAATTCTTGCAAGATACGTTGGACTAGGTGTGAATCCTCATGAGGCACCACCACTCGACTCTTGAAATACAAGACACCTTCCATGACTTGGTAATTAGGATAAGAACTTGGTTCCTGAAGCACTTGAGTGCGGAGTCGCTGAAGTCTATTTGACTGACGAGCTGCCATGATTATGTCATCAAATAATGAGGAGTGGAGTTGCTATATGGCCATATAAGTCACTCTGGACAGGGAATCAGCTGCCAAATTTGTTTTACCTGGTCGATACTCAATGGCAAACCTGTATCCTAGTAACTTGGGTAGATAAAGCTCTTGTTCAGGGGTCTGAAGAACCTGCTTATCAAGGTGTTTAAGGCTCTCTTGATCAGTGCGAATAACAAAAGGGTGACCAAACAAATAATGTCGAAACTTTGCCACAGCCTGCGTGATAGCAAATAATTCCCGAACATAGGCTGACTGAGCTTGCATCTGAGAGGAAAGTTGTTTCGAGAAATAGACAATAGGGTGTCCATTCTGACTTAATACCGCCCCAATCGCACACCCTGAGGCATCCGTTTCAACCACAAATGGCAAAGAAAAATCTGGGAGAGCCAAAACAGGGGCCTCGGTCAAAGCTTTTTTAAGCAAGTCGAATGCCGATTGTGCCTCATTAGTCCAAATGAACCCATTTTTCTGCAATAATCGAGTTAAGGGCTGTGCTATCGAAGCATATTTATGAATGAATCTTCGGTAGTATCCGGTCAACCCAAGAAATCCCCTGAGTTGGGAGACATTTACAGGTGTTGGCCATTGTTGTACTGCTGCCACTTTTGAAAGATCCATAGACACGCCATTTGCCGCTACCACATGACCCAAATATTCAATTTGTGTCTGGCCAAAAGAACACTTTGATTTCTTTGCATATAATTGGTGAGCAACTAATTGCTCTAGCACTAACCCAATATGTTCGAGATGCTGAGACCAAGTGGCACTGTATATAAGAATGTCATCAAAAAATATAAGTACAAATTTGCGTAAATAAGCTTTAAAAACAGAATTCATCAAAGCTTGAAATGTAGCAGGAGCATTGGTGAGGCCAAATGGCATGACAAGCCATTCGTACAATCCTTGATGAGTTCGAAATGCCGTTTTGTCTCGGTCTGCTTCATGCATCCGAACTTGGTGATAACCAGCACGAAGATCAAGCTTTGAGTAATATTTTGAGCCACCTAACTCATCTAAAAGTTCATCCACTGTTGGCATAGGAAAAGAGTCTTTTACTGTGACCGCATTCAGAGCTCTGTAATCAACACACATTCTCCAGGAACCATCCTTTTTCTTAACCAAGAGTACAGGCGCTGAGAACGGGCTAACACTTGGCTGAATAAATCCATCTTGTAACAACTCTTCAACCATACGTTCAATTTCTGCCTTTTGACTAAAAGGATAGCGGTACGGGCGGACCTTAACAGGCCCTGTTCCTGGTTGTAAAATAATTCTGTGGTCACATTCCCTTGAGGGTGGAAGCTCGTGTGGGGTCTCAAAAACAATTGAGTATTTAGAAAGCACAGTATCCAAATCTTCTTGCAATACGTCGGACTTGTCAAGACTTAATAAACTTTCCAAGGCCATCATCTGCACCAGATACACTTCACTGATGCCTTTTGTCATATGAATTCGATGAAGTTGGTGGAGTTGGGTCATCTCACACCTAGCATCCTTTTGCCCTTTTAAAGTGACGAAATTATTATGGGCCAGAAACTTGATTGTGGCATTACTATAGTCTGCCACATGTGGGCCAAGGGTAGCGAGCCAATCCGAGCCTATCACAATGTCTGATCCGGCTATCTCAAGGACGTATGCAGAAATCAAAATCACTTGTCCACAGATTTGGACTGGAAGTTCCCTTACCAAGCCCAATCCTTGCATTAATTGTCCATTTCCTACCAAAACCTTCATGGACTTAATTGGCTCCACCGGTACCTTGAGGTGTTTAACTACTCTGGGATGAATATAACTATCAGAACTTCCGCCATCAAGCAAGACCTGTACGGACATGCCCTTGACTATCCCAGAGAACCGTATTGTAGTTCGCCCTGCAGTCCCATTATAAGCCTGTAGTGAGATGTGATGGTAGGTAGCTGTGTCCTCTATTTTTGGCGTATCTGTAGCTGTAAGGGACGGTGGGGACTCCGGTTCCTCTTTATCATCTTCATTTTGCAACCACATATATTGTCGATTCATGCATTTGTGATTTGGAGAAAATTTCTCATCACAAGTGTAACACAAACCTTTCTCTCGCCGGATCTGCATTTCTGCGGGTGTAATTTTACGTACAGCCGTCAATGGCTTAATATTGGGTGTGGGCAGTAATGGAACAGTCGATGGTTTAATGAAGGACGACCCCGCAACAGCCGTCGTTGTTGTGACAGGCTTATTTGATAGAGGGACGGCATTTCCAGCCACACCAATGTGTCCCTTGCCCTTGCTTACCCAATTTCCCAGATGGTACTTCTCATTAAACAATCGAGCTAGGCTTACTGCCTTCAATAAATTTCCCGGAGAACGAGCAACCACTTCTCGACGTAACTCTAGCTTAAGACCCCCAACAAAACAATCCAAAAGAGCGTCGTCCGTCACTCCTTCAGTTCGATTAGCAAGAGTCATAAATTGTTGGTGGTAGGAGTCCAATGAATCTGTCTGAGTAAGCTTGAATAACTGTGATCTCGGATGTTCGAATTGCGTAGGGCCGAAATGAGCTTCAATAGCTTGGGTGAGACTTTCCCATGTAGTTAGTAGGTTCGATTTTAGCATCATCTGGAACCAGGGTATTGCCGCTCCATCCATATGAATTGATGCCAAAATAATTCTCTGAGGCGTGGTCATCTGATAAAATGCGAAGTACTGCTCTGCACGGAAAATCCATCCATGGGGGTCAGTGCCATCAAACCGAGGGAAATCGATTTTTACCTGTCGCTGATTCATGTAGCTGTTCGCTCCGCTTCCTCCATCTGAGCTGCCAATTTGCAACACCTTGCGTGCTTCATTATCTCTTTGTGTAGCCTCAACCATTCGAACCAGAGTCTCAACTCTAGCTTCAAGTTTCTCATGCCGAGGATTGGGTTGTCGCACCAAATTCTCTATAGTGGCCTCAAGCTTATCAACTCTAGGATTTGGAGCTCGGAGGAAATCACCAATAGCCTTCTCCAAGCGCTCCAAACGTGAATTACTGGCAGCCTCTGTTCGTTCTACTAACTCACGCATATTCTTGCTCTCAGTCTCTGTTCTCTCCACAATGTCGCGCATGCACTGCATATCAAGCTGCAGACTCTTCAGGTCATTTGATAACTCCTTCAGCCTCGTATTCTCTGCCATCGTCTCTCAACGAGAGCACCTTGTCACACCTTATCTCAGGAAATAAAATGAATACAACAAAATATGGGAAATTCTTCTGGTATTAATCAGTAAATTGCATTGCGAAGTTCATCAGAAAACAATACAGCAGAAGTGTAGTTCAGAAAAGGAAACGATAACAGAACAGAATTACCAGAGAAAGGAGGAGGAATAACAGAAAGGAGAGAGAGACCAATTACAATCACACACTGTTTTCCACTCATTGCATGCACATGCATTTTATCCCTCTTGCCCCTCTCGTAACTTCCACGTGAGTGTTCTTGGACGAGTGCTTCTACGCAAAGCAGCCAAATCCGTGTGACCGTCATTGGGTATCGCCACGTCATGGTTCAGCTCACCACTCATCTGCTGACTCGATATAGTGGACGTGACAAAATGCTACATCAATTGCCATAAGTTGAAGATTCTACATCTATACTGACTTGAGATATACTACTGAAAGCTGAAGCAAGTCGAGCTTTCAGAACATTGAGTTGGAATCTATTGAAAACAGATGTTAAACCAATGGTTCGCCCATAGTCAAAAAGTTTTGGGGCTCCAGGCTCAAGCTTTCTGCACCACAGATTGACTATATAAAAATATCAATTCTAAATGAGGAAACAGAACCTTAAAAAAACTTTCAGTTATCCTACTCCCTCAATTTAATCGAATAATATTAAGTATGAGGACATAAACAAGGTTAAATTATATATGACCAGACAAAATAACATCAGTAATAACTGAACAAAAATTATACTTTTGAAATAGATTTTCCAAAATTTAACTTCAGAGTAAGGATGCATAAGACTAAATCAACGAAGTATACTGCTTACGACCGCATTAAACAAGCAAAACCAGGGAAAATCGGAAGAGAAAATCATTTCAAGACATGAGCCCTGTACACTTGGACGCTTGGTTAACATTAGGTGGCTGCAGAAATTCACTGACGTAAGAAAGAAAGGAAGAGGCGAATATCGTAAGAGCATCAGTGTCCTAAAGAATGTTGAGCATTATCTTAAAGGCCATGCCACCAGAAAAATTGGGTGAGTCCGGTCTTGACACTGTAATCCAATAATCTAGCATCAGTCAGACTTCTAGCTACAAAATATTGAGAGAACCAAACGCAGACAACTCAATCAAAGGGTATAACAAAAAAATATGAACAGCAGGATTCGACTAATTCATTGAAGGAGGGAGAACAAAAGAAGAGAAAAAAAGATTTACCGAAGCCAGCCATACAAACCAACCTAAAAGAAGTGAGGGCCAAGATTAGTGAGCAAAGGTGCACTGACCTTGTCTACCAGTCAAGAAAATATGCAAATTGACCTTTACTTGTTGCTTGAATGGGACATCACAGGTTCCACATCCAAACTTGGACAAATAGAAAGGTCAAGTTGATTCAAAGGCCAACATTCCCATAGATTCAAATGCCCAGCTGAATAGCATTCCAACATATTACCAATTGGATTGGCATGATCTTATGGTAACATGACTTTGGATTTTAGATATAAGTGATGCGTGACCTAACAGATAAATGCCGTGATGACTCTTCTTTCTTTCTTTCTTTTTTGATATTTTTATTAAAGAAAAAGATTATATGGAACAACCAAAGAGAGAGAAAAAATAAAAAGAATCTCAATCTACTTTTACAAGTAATAATGCAGAGACACACTTGCTCTTCAATAACTGACATTTATGTTGCAACAATTTTGCAGGTAAGAGCATAGAAGGGAAGATAGTACAGAAAGGGCAAGTTTGAACATGTCCAATAAACTTGGCAAAGGTTTAATGCTTTTTTAAGTAAATTTTAAATGTCAGCATGGATGTAAATGTCAGGAAGCTCCTCATATCAAGAAAAACTCAATACTCATGACAAATTGATAGTTTCATAATGGCTTCAGCATTGGTAAGAGAATGCATATGGGAAGCTGGAACACACCGGTGGGGTAAATGAAGGTAGTGTTTGCGTGTGAGCGAGCACAAAGTTTCCTGCAGTGACAGGACAGGATGCTTCCTCACAAAGATCATGAGTTTCTGTATGGACATGCACCCCAAAGTATGAAACTTCAATTATTAACTTACCGCCAGAAATAGGCTCACCTGATAGAAACATAAATAGCAATTCCACTTGTTACTATTAAATAAAAATAGATTACCAAAGCCACTTCCACACACAAAATGACTAATGAATCTCAAGAAATGATCAGTACAATTTGTAAACAGACTTTAAATTTTAATGCCAACTGGCAACTATCTTATTTTAATTAATCATTCTGTTTTTGTGCATATAGAGATGAAAGTCAATCCAACAATTTGTGGTCAACCTCTACATCTGCACATAAGAGCGCAATGCCATGCATTTTAAGTACGAGGAGAAACCATGATGGAGATTGGAAGAAGTAAAGAAACAAATTAGTAATAAAGATAAAGAATTACTCCTTCCAAACCACTTTATAAGGCATCTTCTAAAAGTCTTACTTGATCCAAAATATAGAACACTGAGTAGCTTTTATAATTGTTTTTCTAACTATACCCCTACTTCATTTATTACTTTTTTTGAAAAAATGATGCATTGTAATTTAAATTATTATTATCAAAGTATTTATGCAAAGGTATTTAATGAGGGTAAAATTATAAAGATGTAGACTTTTTCAAGAAATTAAGGTTTCAACTAATATTTTTTTTAGAATACCATTGAGGGAGCACAAAACAGCGAGAAAGTGTGAAGTTACCCGTAGCAGCTGAAATCTTAAAGGTAGCCGGTTTCCCCCTAATCACAGGGTCGGGTGATATTTCAACTCCAATCACCTTCACAGTATAGTCTCCTTGCTTGTCTGCACAAATTTTGAGCAGAATTATAAGCTATCAATCGATATAAATCTGCCATAGTCTAAACGAAATGTACATAAAGGTGATCGGATGCAGATGGATCCTCTTGCTCACGTAAGATGACACAATCTGCAAATTTACTGAGCAATCTAGAATCCGCAAATTTACCGAGAAATTTGGAATGAAAATTATACTTTGTGAAACAGTGATTGATTAAGAAATGTTCAATTCGACTAAAACGTCAGAGCATTGAAACTTGAAAAACACAGCTCCACTATATCGAATTTGTGGCTTTAGAAAAAGCAGCAAAAGATAATTAAATAAAACTACCGAAGCAAGCAAAGACAACGTCCAAAATAGAAGTAGAAACCTAATGACAGGAGAGATAATTGTTATTCTTAAACACTACATTGCAACATACACTAAACATTACAGAAACAAAAACAAAAACAAAAACAAAAAACGTCCCTTATCTCGAACTGGGTAAGATTTACCCCCAAAAAAAATATGTCAAATGAAAGGAGAAAGGTGAGCTTACCGCAGTATTTGACCCTTGTAGCATGAATTTGAGATGATGACAGCAATAGGATGCATGAAAGAACGGAAAGCTTCAGATGAGACGGAACCTCCATGGATCGCCTAGTGTGATAGACGGGAAGGAAACCGTCTCCCGGTGCGATCCTTGTGCTTCCTTTGCGGTCAGGTTAATCGAGAGTCGGCAGCCTCGTCGAGCTTCGACAAGCTACCACGCTAATTTTTAAATAATAAATTAACGGAAAAAGATACACTCCCTCCCCAATAATCACAACATAAAAAAATCTTTTCAACACCTCATCATTCATCCAAAATATAAAACATTAAAAAATTATTATATTTATTTTTAATTATATTTCTATTTTATTTATTATTATTTTAAAAAATTATGTATTAAAATTTTAATTATTATTATTAAAACTCAACATTTAATAAAGGTATCAATAAAAAAATATAAACATTTTTAAAAATTTAAAATTTTAATTAATATTATTTTTAAATTATAAATTAATTAACTATAACTTATAATGTAGTACATAAAGAGTATTACCTGTAGTCCTATAAATTATTTTTAATATATTTTATTAAAATCAAGAAAAATTTTAAGCCTCATTAACTTTATTTTAAAATTTAATAAGTTTTTACTTTTATTTTTAATAAATATTCTTAAATCTTATTATTAGTATTTTTATTTAAAGTATTTAACAAGGACAAAAATATAAAGATAAATATTGAGAATTGATAAGTGTTCTATAAAATTAAATTTTTTATCTCTCTTTATCTCATGAATAGGATCAACAAAATATATTGAAGGATTAGTTATTGGTATGCACTTTAATTTTTGATAAGTATTAAAAAAAAAGCTCTGCACTTTAATTTAAATTTATTTTGCATTTTAATCTTGTGTGAAAGTAAACACATTCAAGTCTTCAGATATAAAAAAAAAAAAATACACTCAAGTCTCATGAATCATGATTATATATTGCCAGGCCTAAACCATTCCAGTATCTTTAAGTATATCCTTTATTGTTGAGCTAGATTAGAAAGAAATGAGGGTTAAAAAAAATAGGGGAATGAGTCAAATTAGTGGGATAACTGGCCAAGTATTTTTTTTATCATATTTATCAAGGATATTTTTATAATAAACACATTAACTACTCTTAACATTTTACAAAACTTCTCGTAAAAATATACATGGAACTTTTAAAAAGATGCTATTCTAATAGTAAATGAAAGGAAATGAGATACCATCTCTATCTCTAGTTCTATATGTGAAGGATAATTTTAACCACTTTACAAAAATTTAAAAACTTTAGTTAAATTAGATGATGGGGTTAAATTTGTTTGTCAATAATTTTTTTTAATTCTATCTTATTGGGTATTTTTTTCAACATAACCAATATATCTCAGTTTTCTTAAAATAATTAAAATGTTTTGAAAATTTATTAAAATATTCAAAAACTAAGGTGTAATCAATTTTGCTTGAAAATATCACATCACATATACACCTCTAGTCTTGTTTATTGGTCATCTTCTAAAAATATAATATGATTCACTTTATAAGTCATTAGTTGATGGGATTAATTTGTTTAAAATTAAAATTTTTAAATTATTCTTAAAAAGTAAGAGAGGGAAAGACAACAAAAAAATAATATTATACTGTTTGTTTGCTTTTTGTTTTTTATTTGAAGGTTATATTTAAAATTTAACTTACTTTTATTTTTTATATTTTTATTGAATTGGTATTGATAATGTTAATAGAAATGATTTATGTCTCTTCTCCATGACTCACTATAGTCTGCAACCCCATCAACAGGACACTTGTTGATGTTGACCTGTCAAGGAAAAAATTAAACATTTTATGTGTGTGTGTTTTTTTTAAAATACCAATACTTTAATATTTATAAGTAAAATATTATATAAAATTATAAAATTTATAAGTAATTTTATTTAAAAAGTATTTTAATATTTACAAGTCTATTTCTTAGATTTATAACTCAATTTAACAAATTTACATGTGGCATTTGTAAATTTTACATGTCTATTTACAAGTCTTTTTTTTTTTTTGCACAAGTTTGCCTACACAAATAAAATACTCTTACTCTTTCTCTCTCTTCATCTAGGAATAGCGATTTGAAAAGATGAAAAAAATGTCTCTCTACCTTCAACCTCAACCCTCCACCCAAAACTTTTGCCATCAAAGGAGATGGAGTACATTAAATCTTAGGTGGGCTAGATTTGACATTAATGATATAACTGCGTGTAAAGGACTTATAAAAAACAACAAGAATAACTAGATTAAAGAATTTTTGGAAAACATTAGTTATCAACTCGGCATAGTAATTGAGCTTATAAAAATTTTGAAAAAACTAAACATTTATTTAAATGTTAAGAATTCCAGAATTAATGTCTACTTTGATTTTATGAAGATTTTATCCCTTACTAAATGTAACTTCACCCATAGGCACCCTCTTTCAACAATCATTAAAAACATCATAAATATTATTATGATAAACTGAAAAATTACTTTTGATTATATTTATAAAAAAACTAACCATTGCACAGATTTTATAACTTATAAAACTTCAAGCGAACATTTTAATATTACTTTATTTAACTGTAGGAGGCTCATGCTTTTAACATGACTTGATCTCGGTCTTTTTATATTATTTTTATCGTGGTCTTGTATTAAAAAAAACAAATAAATAAATAAAGATGAAGAAGATGACCCAGTAGCTCAGGCTCGAGTTGCCATGACACGGGCGAACTGGAGCCAAGTGACAGTGCTTGCAAAGTAGACGGATGTAGAGCATAGATCCGCATAGGTGAAGTTGATTTGGAACAGCGATCTGCAATTTTGGTGCGGCGGCTTCAACGAAGTAACGGCGAAGAAGCAACTTCATGAGCGGAGTTTGGATCTAGTGAGGGATGGTGGCTTCGGGAATTTTGTGATGTTCCAGATCCGAGTTTGTGTTCAAGTTGCCATGCTCTTTTTTTTTTTTTTTTGGTTTTATTGATTTTGATTGTTGCTGATAAAAGTTTGGACTTTGAAAATTTGTTGCTATGATTTTTGAAAGTTTGATAGATATTAATCAACTAGGGACTTTTTAGGTCACATGAGAATTGTTAGAGGAATGCAAAGATCATTTTGCGAGGAGCTGAACGCACTGGACTGGAAGAAATCATTCGGCTGAGGGATTGGTTTCACTGTGCCCAAGGTTTGTAAATGCATATAATAGAGAAGATTGGTTCAAAGTGAAAGCTTATTAAAAGCAGCATCAAATTTATTTATGCATTTATTTATTTTGGGAAAGGATTGGTTCTCCATGGAAGATTATGTGATGTGACACTACTAATCGGATTATGCATTCAAAGTGGAAAATTGTTGGCGGAAAGCACTGAGCTAGAAGAAATTGATGGTGTTTATGCAGATAAGGCTTGAAGCTAGGCACGGCCTCATGCAGATAATTAATTGGGCTGGATTATATTTTTTTTTCATTTTTTTGTTTTAAAAAATGCCAAGTGGCAAGAAGCGAAGGTAACGATTAAATAAAGGGTCACACTAATGATAAAGCAAAATTGTTCCCTTTTTTAAAATTTTGAGGCAAAATTACTTTAAACAAAAAAAAAAGGATGCTAGATACTATTTACAAAAAAGTTTCAGAGCATTGTTATCTTTTAATTTTAAAAATTTTATATTATATTTTTATAATATTATTTTGTCGTATTTTTTATTTATGATATCATATTAGCAAATTAGCATATTTTATATTATATTTTTATAATATCACAGTAACATATTTTTTATTTATGCTGTTTCCAAATGACCTTTTAATTTTTCCATGAATAATAAGTTCATAAATAAAATAAGATGTTTATATTTTTAGTATGACCAAAAGCACGGTAAAATTTAACAAGTTTTTGTTAAAAATAATTTATTATACATTTAGCGCATGAGCAATAAATCTTGCAAGTGGTTTTTTTATTTAAATGCAACAAATTTTTAGAAAGGCCTTTTTTAATGACTCATGAATAACTAAAGCCACATGATTTTTGGCAAAGCTATGTGAAAAGTATGCCCATGTTTTAGATGAGGGAGAGACTATGTATTGTAATATTTTTTATAAAATTCATTAGATTATAAGCTCTTTAAATCAATACAAACTGTATTTATATTTTTTTTGTCTTGATTTTGTGTTTGCAAAAATACGTTGGCACAGTGAATAAGTGTTTAATCTCACTTTCTACTTTATTTCTCATGAGTTTCATTGATCTATTTCTAATTAGTTTCATATAAAGCGCTACATTTTATGCAATTATTAATTGTACACTAGGTAACCGATCCCCTTTCATACAAATCTCATCGCCTTTCTTGTCCTTTGTGCAGTATTGGAGTAGTTGAACTTGACTTAGATAGATTCAGGAACTAATTATTATGTTAATGGCAATCTACTTAAACATCTTGTTTAATTATTATTATTTGGAATATTAATACAATATGCGTGTCAATTTTATTTTTAGGGAGATGACTAATTGTGACTTTGCTTTGCCTTGTAAAGGCACTGTGGCTATGTTGGGGTTGGATAATAAACAAGGCAATGATGGAGCAATGAGATAAGGGAAGGTATGTTTAATGATAATCAACAACTTAACTAGTCTTGCTTTTTTTTTTTTTTGAACTCACAAAATGGTTTAATATAATAAGTTTTCTGTTTTTTTTATAAGAATAACTAAGACGGTTTAAATTATATTTCATTAGAATTAAAAAAAAGAGAGACCCAATAATGAAATTTATTATTTTGTAAGTTTTACATGTATGGCTTTTATTTCTTTTTTCCTTCAATTACTTCATCCTATGTTACATTAAGGCCTTCTAGATTTCATGTTTTAATGCATATACTCTTATTCTATAAAAGATCCGATGAGACACAAGCAACAAATACCAGAATCTATTCTATTATTTTTATTCAACTATTGTAAATATATTTTATTTAATCTAAGACGTGAAGTTTGCTAAAATAAAAAAATTAAAACAATTATAATATGTAATGACCTATTAAAATTAGATTATATATTGAATTTAACGTGAGAGTCGCGTTCTATAAAGCCATAACCAAACATAATTAAACATATATTTGCGCCCACATAATGACCGGAGACAAACAAGGAAGAAGAGGGGGAAAAAAAGAAGAAGGGTCTGTTTGGATTTCAGTTGGGTATAATAGATTATGAAAATAATTGATTAAGTGGTAGATTTTAATCATAATTAATTATGTTATAACGTAATCTGTTTGGATATTGTTTTTTTAAAATTGATTTTAACAGAATTGAATATATTTAGATAATTTAATCAAAATTAATTTTTAAATATATAATTTAATTTTTAAATATTAAATATTAATTTTTTAAATATATAAAGTTTAAATTTTATTAAGAAAAAAAAAGAAAAAGAAGAGAGTTTTAATTTTATTTTTATTAAATTATGTGCTTTCTTTGTAATTTTTTCCTGGGCCTGTTTTTGTAATTTTTCCCAACGTTTTTGACAAACTTTTGGCAAAGCGGACGAAGGGAGCTTCGGGAAAAATGCGCGTTTTGGCCTAGAATTGATTTTTAATCATTTTCGACTGTTTGGATAGATTGACAAAAAAAAATCGATTTTGGGTCCAAAACGCCCGTTTTTTCCTTATCCAAACAGGCACGAAAATTTCTCCTAATTTTTTATGCATGCATGTGGCATCTTTTAGTCCATAAGTAAATTTAAAAAGATAGTATTTTAATATTTACAAATCTATCCCTTAGATTTACAACACAATTTTATAAATATACAAATAAATTTACATAATCTTTCCATTAACTTTATGTTCAAGGAATTGGAAACCGTGCAATTGATGGCAAAACTTCTGCCAATTGCATGGTTCAATCGTTGACAAATTATCATTTAATTGCAAGGCAGCTTAAATTTGCCAAATCGCCGTCATCAGGCTCATTGTGCAGCACTGCAGCTGCAAGCCTGCAACCAAAATCATCACGAACTGACCTCGCCCGTAAACGACAACGCCGTTTTATTGTAAGCCATAAAAATGCCTTTTATTCTTGCTCCTTTTGTAACTAGCTCTGTCAAGTTTATCAACTGAACGTCTTCACCGTCAACGAAATGGAACCTATAGAGTGACGTTGGTAGTTTTTTTACCGACTAATCCGTTACTGACCCACCTTCGGTCCTTCATCATTCTTTGTCTCTCTCTCACCACGAAGGTGAAAAGATTCTGCAGATTTGTTCTATAAAAGTAGTCTTTATAATAAGGAATGGAATTTCACGGTGTTATCTTCATGCTCACTGCTGTTAACCTTCCTTTTTCATGCCAATGGATCCCTTGATCCGCAAGCTGCGCCGCCGCCTTCTTGAATGGCTTCGCCGATCTCGCTCTGGTAACCGAATCTTCCTTCAATTTCTTCCTTTATTTCCATCTTTAATTTCCGCCCTCTCTTAACTTTATCAACTTGTACGAACTCAGGCACTATCACCTTGTGCTAGTTCGATCATATTTTTGGCTGATCTGAAGATGGTATGCTTTAATTGCTCTAAAAGTTTTGTTTTGCAGGGTGAAATGGAGTCTGGAAGTTGCAGTATTTAGTAATTCTGAAAATATCTATATTAATTTACTCCAATGGTTTGGCCAAAAGTAAAAAATGAAAATTTACTCCGATGGTTGATTAAAACAGGGGGCTTTCTGGTTTTATTAGATATTAGAGGTATAGAAGTTCAGACTTTCTAGGCGTTAGCATTGAACTTGTTTAAGCCCTGAATTCAGATCAGATATACTTTATGAGGCGACTTTCGTACAAGGATGTTAAAAGAGCAACGGATGGTTTTCACAGAATCATCTATAGCAATTCTCAAGTTGCTGCATACATGGCCAAATTTGAGGACGGTAGCGTTTCTTTGGTGAAAGAAATAAAGGATTTTGATCAAGCAGATGACATTTTCTACAGCGAAGTGCAATTCTTGGGCCGCTTGCATCATCGACACCTTTTGTCACTCAAAGGATTTTCCATGAGACATAAGAGGTTTGTGCCTGTAAGACTATCTTCCGCTTCACATAATCACCTGTTTAGTTATATACATGGCATTGTTTTTATTCCACTTTCGCCATGCTCATGATCAGAACAGAAGTGGTAATTGTCAGTAACTAAAGTTTTCTTCCAAGTATGCCGAGGCTTATGTTTAATATTTTCTAGTGAGGTGGACCAAATTGTTCTTAGCAGCATATTTCTTAAACCGAGTCTCCAATCCTTCCCTCTTGAAGCATACTTTCACGTTCAATCGCTGTTCATAATGGATTATGCATCCACGAATTATGAATTGCTAGCCAGTTGAGCCACAACCATAGCCGTGGCATTTGAGGTTGCCATTAGGATTCTTACCTGACACGAGTCTTGCCACTACTTAGTGGCAAGTGAGGTGCTTATAGATACTTGCAGTCACATGTTGACGAATGAATGGGAATCCTTTCGTTGCTTTCTGTGTTCTAAACACCATCTTAATCATGTACGGACCACCGTTAATGTAAAATATAAATAAGTCTGACGATTTTTAACATGGGTATATCAGCAGGTTGCTTATTTTTGACAGCATAGAGAATGGAAGCTTGAAGGAACATCTAAATGGTAACGTCAGAAAAGTGGAAATTTGGGGAGCATCATAATGATGTTTGCACTATTTTGATATTGTTTTGTTGATTGAATGATGGCAGATCCCCTGAAAACACCCTTAAACTGGAGGACAAGGTTGCAGATAGCTCTTGATGTTGTGGCTGCCCTGGTAAGCTCTACAATCGCGATCAATCACTCCATATTATACAAGCATGTCCATAAGTTCCAAGCTTTTTAGCTTGCCATATTACTGCACTGCATACATGACACCTTTATTCTTCCTCAGATTTTAAGGCGACTTAATTGGAGAACCAAGAATTTTATTGTCTTCCGAGGTTTCCAAAAATAAACATGATATGCTCACCAAACACGTAGATGCAAGCCAAATAGACCATAGCTTCTTAATTTTAACATTGGTAATTATTTTTTAGTTGAATTCTAAGAATTTGTTGTGATACTCTTCGAAATGGAGAGAGTTTAAGATCATTGACAGATTATTGAACTAATTCTTTGGATGGAGATTCAACATGTCAGTTACATTCGTTCATTAGTTTTAACTAGGATAATAATAATAATATTAAAGACCTGGAAGGTAAAAGCTACAATTATCTTCCAGCAATTATCTCATTTTGACACGTGCCACTGCTACTTATATGACTATTGTGATGCAGGAATACTTGTTTCTCTTCATTGAACAACCATTATGCCATGTCTCCATCAGCTCTGGCAATATCATGTTAGACGATAATTTTACAGCTAAAGTAAGGAAAACTTTTTTATCTTGCGGCAAACTCTCTCCTTTTCGCGGATACTAATTCGGTCTTGCAGACATGCCAAAAGGGCAAATTAAAAAATATACTCAAACTAAGAAATGTTGTTCACCATCAAATGACATTTCCTTCGGTGTTCACAGCTATCTGATTTCGGCCTTCTTACTTGTGTTGGAAATCCCGTTATGATGCCGAATTCAAGAGGTAAATTCTCTGTAGAATACTCTAGCTGACATGCTCACATACCATTAGCGGTCTCATTACCGACCTAATTCATTTCAGATGACAGCGCGAGGCAGAAAAGTGGTAGCATAATATTCCAATTGGGAGTTTTCATCCTGGAGCTTGTCACTGGCCAGTCATCAGAGATGGAAGGTTCCGATCTAATAGAATGGATCCAGGAATCACGTTTCTACAGTACCATTCATAAGATGGTAGACCCTGATCTTGGCGACAACTACAATTCTGGGGAGTTAAAAACCCTTCTAGCTGTTGCGAAGTTATGTATCAAATCAAGGGACAAGCCTGTATTTACAATCCCCCAATTATTACGATATCTTCAACAGAAGGTGGATATCCCACGTGACTAAGGTTGGACTTCCCTCTGTTTGAAAACCTTAATGGTTCTTGGGAGTTTGGGAGAATATTTCGAACTCCCCTCCCGGTTGTGAATAACAATATAAATTCGCCTTTTCTTGCCTCTTGGAGAATCGATTTCGTTGCCTTGTGGGGGTACAGATACTCATTTGGAGTTAAATGGAGAATATGGACAGAAACTCGCGAGATGTAAATAGATACGAAGGGGGAAGTGTCCAGTGACAGTGATGGGAAGTGAAAGTAAACAGTGGAAAGAAGGGAACCTTTTTTTACCCCCTTTCCTTTTCTAAGTGCGTTTCATATGCAACAGTAGCTATCTAAACGAAAACGAAGTAGTCACGAGTGCCCAGAGGAAACGATCCTGCTTCCTGGTTGAGTTGGCTGGGCCTGGTCGACCAAGATATCATTCATCTAATACCCCTCCCCCTTTTCTTGCCCCAGGGTACTCGTCAATTTCAAAGCAAATATAAAGAAGCTTACATTACATGATGTCAAGTGTTGGCTACAAGTTATAACACTGGCAGCATCGCTCTTCATGGTAGGCCCTTAAAGAGTCTGAGGTCCCAAGTTCAAATGCTAGTCTGATGCCTAAGAAGATAAATTTTTTTTTTTTTTTAAAAAGGTGTTGGTTATCAATTAGCTATTTCTTTTTGACACATACAAATATATCCCGTAAGTAATTAATCAAAGGCAAGTCAAATTTCTTTCATTGCATTACATAAGCTTTTCTTGAGGAAAACCTTGCAGTAACACTTTCACAGGTAGAGAGATCTTCAAACATGAACCGCCGATATTCAACCAAAAGTAGCCAAGGGGCTTCTTGCTAGAAGAGTGCTTCAGATGCATGCAGACACCAGAGTTTATGATCAGTCGGTCTCCCCAAATGGTTTGCAGATGCTTAAAATAATCATGGGTAGATGTTTCAATAGATCTAGACAAATCATGGAAAATATATACTTTGCAGTTGGCGAGGCAGAAGCCAGGAGGCAAAGGAATCGCATCCGAAGACAATTAACAATAATGTGAACCTAAGTATCGATTTTCTCTCTGCCTGGATCCGACAATTGCCAACTGCTCTAGCGGCTACAAGATTCAATTTCGCAGCGCTTGTCTTGCATGTTCAAGAACAACAGGGGCCATGACAGACAGATTCATCTTCGACATGCTCCAGCAATTGTGAGATATTGAACAACGGCTCTAGTCGCTACATCAATCCGCAAATATCTTCTAATGGGTTATAGCAAATCTTGTATTGGGATGTAAATGCTCAACAGAAGACAGATTTTTAATAAAAGATATCCTGAATCCTTATGATCCCATATGCCAGGTCGTACTGATTCCCTTGGCTCACAGAAAAAGGCAAAGATGCATTATAGATCAGCATTTTGTTCTTTCTTCACCAGTTTTAATTGATGCTGCCAAGAAAAGGATTTGAAAACATAAAACAAGCACGACATTAACAATGCTATGCTAGGATATTCTTTTGACCCAAAAGGGGGGGGACAATGCTGGGGCATACAACAGTAATTACAACCAACATCCACACGAAACCCTCTATAATGTTGTAAATTGACATGCGAAAATAGAATATAAACTAATGCTCTGGCTTTAGTGAATGGAAATGTTAGCGGAAGCTGGTAAAGACATGCAATTCACCCATGGTACAACCATCAGCAAAGGCCCATAACTTTTGGAGGCCTAAGAGAGAAAGATGATATCTAGGCTATCCAAGAAAAAGGGTATATTAAGAATGTTAAAATGGAAATATTGCCCAAGGGTGGAAAAAACTTCCAGGTACTTACTCTTCAATTTCCTTAGACAATTCGCTTCGCATTATGACCAAAAGTTATTGGCATCATTCATATCTTTGACTCTACTCCCGCAAATTCATCACTGCTGGGCACATTGCACTCTCTGAGCACCACCATGCATATCCTCACCCTCATCATATGCCTCCTGCTGTGCTTGTTGCTTCCTCCCCATCTCCTCCTCCAAATTGACATCATGGAGTGTAGTCTCCTCACATTCGTCCAGCTCCATGTCCGTCAATCGTGTTGAAGGCCTAAGTGGCAGAACGGCCTCCAAAACTTTTACTTGATCATTCGTCCAGCTGTGCTTGTTGCTTGGACCTATTTCAGATTATAAGAGAGAAAGGGAAGAGGAGTAGAAAAAAAAAACCAAAGAAAACGAGTTTTAAATGTCTTCAAAACTCCAATCTCTTGCTCCAAGCTCTTTTAATGCCCAAACCCTAATACAATCAAACTCAAAACGTATCTTAAAGTGAGAAAAATGTGTTATGGGTTGAGCTCTTAGCATATATCCATCCCACCCAAGCATTTTTAAATAAATAAAATGAAATATTTTATTGACAGCAATAAAAGTTGCGATTTTAAGATAACTTTGCATTATTTTCACTATTAATGAAACTTAACCTTTTATGCATTTGATTTACCATCCAAAAGCCTTTCGAAAACATCAACAAAGGTCCATAAATGTAACTAATCAAATCTTAAACTAAAATAACATAATTTAGCCCAAAATATCAAACTAATGTGAATATGCAAAACCAAAATAAAATACACATTTTGGACAGTTAAAATATACATAATTAAACCAAATATATTAAAATCTAAGAAAAATATGATAAAATGATATAAAATTTTAGATGCTAACACTGCTAAAGTGAGTAAATTAGGTTTCAGCCCATCAAGAACCACTTTGAGATTTCTGAGAAGCCCTTTGCCACAGGCGCCCCTTACATTCTTGTAAATTAGATTAATCATTAAAATAATTTAATAATTGAAAAAAACTAGAAGCCCATTAAAGGAAATTCAATTTTAGGAACTATAGAATCAAGGGATTTATTGCATAATGTTGGGCTTGGTTGAATAGAATCTAGGGGCTCGGCCCATGGCTTTCAGTTGGATTCAAATTTTATTTGAGCTCCTCCTCAGGATTAGCTAGAGTAAGGGAAGCTTCCATGTCCTTCTGTATCAGGCTGAGAGGAGACTTTTTATGGGAATGGGCATTATTAATGCGTCCATCTTTCACTACTATCCACGCACGCATAAGAACCTTTTTACTTTTGTTTTGCTTAATCATATCCCTTATCCTTTCTCTGTGCGTTTAGTAAAACCACCTTTTTGTTATACCTTCTCAATCTACTCTTCTAGTTAGCTCGCCATTTGTAGAATGATCTCATTGTGCGCAGCAATAACACCCCATTTTATGTTTTCTTTAATTTGCTAATGTTCGGTGGCCCCCCAATTACATTTTCATGCATGGCTATAAAATGTACAACTCCTTAATCCTTGAGTACAAGCATCTGCTCCTCTTCTACAAGCACACCAAAACAGGAGCCGAAAGGATCCCGACAAGAAGACTCGACCATTTTTCTTTTCTTTTTCGTTGCTTTCATGGTTTCTACAATAGACCATTACTTATGAATAACAGAGGCCAATTGGGTATTCTCTTTTCCTTGACTTTCACCATTGATGGAATGCTCTGTCTCGTCCCTTGAGGAATGTGTGATTTTTTTATAGGCAACATCTTATCTGTGCCCGTAAATACAAAGTTAGTGCAAAGCATATGTAATCCTTTGTATTCTAAATGGTAACCTTTCCGTCCAAAAAAACCTAACTCATTTATTCAGATCCCCTTGAGGAATGTGTGATTTTTTTAATAGGCAAACATCTTATCTGTGCCCGTAAATACAAAGTTAGTGCAAAGCATATGTAATCCTTTGTATTCTAAATGTAACCTTTCCCGTCCAAAAAAAACCTAACTCATTTATTCAGATCAACTAGGAGTCTAGGATGCATATTCTTCTTGCAAAGTAGCCTGTGAGTTGACATGCCATGTGTAGATCAACTTTGATTGTTGAGCCAATTCTATTACCGATAAGAGTAAGAGCCTCATTGTCATAATACTCAAGGAAAACTCTTGGCACCTGGACCCAACATCTTACCTTATCAGTAGTTGCATGTTAGGGATTGATTCTTAGTTCCCAAGGCATAACCATCAAATAGTAGTCATAAATCATTAAAGTTTCACCCGTGAGTGCTTGAAATTAGTCTTCCTTTTTCGATAAATTGAACCACAAAATAACCAAACCAATGTTAATCAATCTAATGACTCCTTTTTTAGCCTCCATTACTTGTAGACGAGTGTCAAACGCCTTGAAAACAATGCTTCTATCTAAAAGCTTGATTATCAAGGCTTTCTTCTTCCAAGACTGTAAAGCCTTTTCTTAAATTTTGATAAAAACACAAAGGTAGGAAAGATCTTGTTTGTATCCCTAATAATTTGATTATTTGGCTCCTTAGGGCTCTGAAGGTGCGATGTTGTCATTCATCTCCTCATCAGAGTTATTGCCTTCCTCTTCTTCTAATTCTTCATTCAAGGTATCTTTATCCCTATTAATACCTTTAAGTTTTTCTATAAAGGTACATTTCCCAGTTGGAATGATAAGTTCCTTAGAGCCCAAACTTTGGCTAGTGGCCTTAAAGGAGATTCTCTTCATTGTCATAACCTTCTCTATTTTTTTTTATTCTTTCTTTGAGCTTCTAGCAAGTTGATCTTCTTCTTCTGTCATTTGTGCATAGGTTTGGAAGAACAAAGAGTTTCTTGGAAGGTGCCATCCGTTATGGTTTTTAACTGGCTAGCTCAAAGTTAGGTGTTAAGTAGGACGTTGGTAATGGGAAGGTTGGTTGAATTATGAGCCCCATGCATGCAAGGGTTTGGTGATTTAGGTCCTTTCAAGTCATTGGTTTTTTGCAACTTCACTAAAGAAGAGCTCTCTCATGTGGTAGAGATAGGGTGGACTCAGGGGCCATAATTTTTTATTTTTTAAAATAAAATATAAGAGTCATATATTCTCAGTCCCTAAAAATATCATTATAAATAGCTATTTTTGTTGCTTGTAAAGAAGTAGTTGATGTACATTCATTTTTTTTTAAACTTAATATAATTTTTAATGTTGTGTATTCTTCTTATAAACATAATGAATTACAAGATATTTTTACATTTCAAATTGCCAATTTGGTTGAAAATGAAGAGATTAGATAGGAAGAGGCTAAGTTAACACCATTACAATGAGACACG